CATTTATTACTCTTCTAACTTCGGATCTTTTATACTTTTTTCCTGTTGATGCTCTTTTTCTGCTTATACTCTTCCGTTCCTCTTGCTTTAACAAATCTTTCATGCTTCTACCCTTTTTGCCCTTTCTGTATCAAAGAAAAAGCAGTCTAGCAGAATCTCTCCTAAACTGGGGTCATGTAGTAAAGAGCAAAGTTCACTTGCAATTCCATGTTCTTTCAGCTTTCTAGGTAGTATTCGCCTTCCAACCAAACATGAAGGTTAGGTCTCAGCTGTGTTTATTCCTACAGGAATGTGATCCACTCCAACTGATAATCTAATGAGATCTTGGTGATAAATTCTGTGGATCCTTATTTTTTTAAGTCCTAGACATTGCTTTATGACTGCCTGTAGTTCATAATTTTTTCCAGTATATTGCCTACACAGAGATTCTATCTATTCAAATAGAATAACCTGCTCTCAAAACTGAAAGTTGTTTACTATACTTTAGTATTTCTGTAGCTCACTTAAAATAAAAATGTTACTCATGTCTTACGGTAGTGGCATTTCTCTTGCATGTCCAGATGAAAACATACCTGGATTCACGCTGTCTGAGCAAGCTATCTATCCACTAATCTTCTATAGGATTTTAATGAAACAAAATTCTTACTTTTGACTGCAGAGATTTTCTAGGCCTTTCCCAAATCTTTTCAGCTTGTGACAGTTCTCCTCCTCCTCTAAAATCTTATCTCCATGAATAAACTTGATGAAGAGCAGTCTGTCATTGTACTTGAAAACAGGAAGCGTGCACAAGAACTTCTCCTTTAGAGAAACAAAGTCTTTCCTGCCTCTCCACTTACTCCAGCTGGCCTTCTATTTCTGAAAATGAAACAGTCTTTCTGCTTTGAGTGGAGCTTTCTTTTGAACATAGCTACGGAAAAAAAAGAAAAAAAGAAAAAAAAAAGAAAAAAAAATTATGTGTAAAAATCAGAACCATCTGATAATGTAAAAATATTCTTTTTCAGCATTTTCAGGTTTTTTCATGTGAAATGACTTCTTGCAGTCTTTATATTGGAAGATCAAAGTCTAAACCAAACACTATTTTTTTCCTTGTAATCAAAAGTTGGAATAGATCTGAAATCGTATTTCTATCAAAAAAGTCAAGAATTAAAGAATCAAAGAATCAAATTGAAAATGCACACTGAAGCTACAGAATCCCTATTGGAAAGGAGATTTCCTCGTTCTGAATGATATTTAAACCCCTGTACGTCACTTGGATTCTGCTTTGATAGAGGAGTCTTGAAATGCACTGTGTTAAGAATATAATGTGCTCATTTGCTTTGTCCAAAAGGAAGGTCACAAAGAAGTTATCAACTAATTAACATTTTCAAATAGACACAGATACATCCTTCTGATTGTCAGAAGCTGTTTTAATTCATATCAGCTGAGCCAAGAAGGAACAAGGGCATATTGGAGAGTAATATTTTACATAAAAATAAAGTTATACCTAGCTCATTCAGTAGAAGACCTCTTGGACTATAGCAGTCTTCTGTGGGATGTGCACACACACCATATAAAACATTCTGGTGTCATATTATGAGACCTTCTTTAACAGGAAATCTTTCGAGGACCTAAGACTACATATACCCCAAACACATTAAGGATAATTCAGAAAAGCATTCTCATTTCAACAGCTTTTTCGAATTTATATCTCATTCTTCATGAGTTTTGGCCATCCGTGGAACTCTGTTCAGGCACTGTCCTAGATATGGAGTGATGCTCTCTCTAATTCAAATTTCTTTTTTGGACTCCACATTCTTGCATGCACTCAGATATAAAAACACACATGAACATTTGTTATTGTTATTATTTCTTAGATGACTATTGAAGCAATTTGCACATTTTGTCCAGTATCTTTGCTGTGTGGTGGGTTTCACCTTGGATAGCTTCTGGACACCAGCCCAACTACTCTCTCAACTCACTACTCACTACTCCTCAACAGGGTACGGAAAAAAGAAAAATGGAAAATACTGTTTGTTAAAATAATCACCAATTGCCATCACAGACAACAAAAGGCCCTTAGGAAAGGGTAATTTAATTTATTGCTAATTAAAAGGTGTAGAACGATGAGAAACAAAGCCAAAAGCTAAAATACTCCCTACCCTCCAGGATTAATTTAATTCCTTCATTCTCTGTTCTGTTTCTTCCTCACTGTGTTCAAGCTGGCAGCTGCAGAAGCATCTCAAAAAATGTCTAGTATAGCAGCCTAGTATAGCCTAATATAACAGTGAGGAAAAAGACTTCTTGTGAATTAATCTGGACATTAAAAAAAAAAATTGAAAATCCACATTTATCATTTGGGTGAGGGTGAGTAAAGGTCATAACTGATTTAGGTCAAAAAAACATCCAAACCATTTCTACAACTTTGCCAATTTATTTGTTGATAGCTTTGAGTTACTTCAGTATATTCCTTTTCTGTTTGGATTTCTAAACATAGAAACTGAGAGAAATTTCCTCCTCAGAAAAATAGCTATGCAAGCACTGCCTACAGTCCATGAATATTCTCTTTTCTAACACAGCATTCTGTTGGTAGAGAAGAAAACAAACTGCTTGCTGATACTAAATTTTCTGAGGACATATTTCTGTTATTCATGTCCCTTAGTGGTACTGTTAGCTTACTGGCAAGGTGTAGGTGTTTTAACACTATTGTTTAGTCACTCCATGAATTCAAATAAATGAAAGAAAACATAAATATTTTGTAAACTTAATGATATCTACATCAGATATGCTTGATTTGTTTGGTAGTGACCTCTATGTTTTCTATAGGGTTATAGCTTTTGTGTTCTCCTCAGCAGCCTTCCTACATGGCATTTGAGACTCAACAAACAAAAATGTACAGTCCACGGAGAGAAAGACAGAAATTTCCACAAAACTGACTAAAGCAGTGGAATGCCTTTGTTGAAAGAAAATGTTATCCTTGTAACAGTCTTCAGTATTCTATTTCTTTTTTCTTTTTTTTCAGATGAACAAGAAAGCAGGGGAAAAAAAAGTTAATGTGCATTCAATTTTTATGACCATACTCTGTCTCAGTCCCAAGGCTGGGAATAGGCATGAGCTTTAATTTATCTATTGCTGTTTTTTTTTTTTTTTTTAAAGCAGATGGATCTTATGGAATTTTGCAAAGAATACTTTTTATTTTACACCCAGATAAACAGTTCAGCTGAACACTATTAGTGATAAAATTGTCCCTAAACAGGATTATTTTCATAGTTCGCCTTGGCACACAGGCAACCTCTGTATAACTAGCCAAAAATAATCTAGATTGCTAACTGCAAAAAGCTTCTTTAGTGTTTGATGCATTGTGACAAAGCCTTTTTTCAACCTCATTCTACTGATTCTACGTTGCAGGGAAAGAAGTATTCCTCCCCTCTAGTTATTCTGTTATAACTACCTAATAATAGTAATAACTATATAATAGTAATACCTAATATAACTAACTGTTGTATTTTGATAACCTGAAATAGAAAGGACAGTTACTCTTATGTAGGTAAAATTATGTGCAAACTCTTGTTACGTACTATGAGGAAAGAGATACATATAACAGGACTTAACATGCTCCCATGTTTCTGCGTACCCTAGTCCCTCATATATACGGTATGGCCAAAGTAGAAATCATGCACTTCAACATCTCACATGACTGAACATCTTTTATAGCTGAACACCAATTTTATAGTTCAGGAAGGCTACCTGACCACAAGTTATTGGAATGAACTCCAATCTAAAGTGTCTAAGAGTAAATTAAAAAAAAGAGGATAGGAAGTGATTTCATTTAAGTGGACTGAACTCACTTGACCTTTATTTTTTTTAAATAAGAAAAGTGAGATATACCAACAATACTTATCCAGAAGCACAGTAAAGAGCTTCTTCTCAGTCAGTCATCAGCCCTTGATAAGAAGCTAAAGATCTTTACAGTTTCAGTTGTTAGACTGCCTCCATATGTGCAGAAATTTGTCAGCTCAAGATTAGGTTAGCAAAATGCATACTGATGTCTTGAAAATTGCTTAGAAATAAAAGCTTGAGAAGATTTATATATATGTATGTAATATTCTAAAAATATTATGTTTTAACAGTTATTGTATAGGGTTGTATAGGGCTTTATAAAAGCTTTCATTTGCTTCTAAACCATGAATTACACACAGTGAATTGTCTCCGTTTTTTTTTTTTTTTTAAATCTCATATAACCTATTCTCTCATTGTGATCAGAGGACCTCAGGAAAAAGTTTTTATTCAAAATAAATATTTATTTAAAAAATTGTAGTTATGGTTTAACAGAAATTATTTGCCAGATAGTTGGATAATTTTAATAAGGATGAAAAAAGTGCATCATATGATTTTGCAAAATGTAACTAATTTTTAAAAAGTCTTTAAAATTTTTTTAAAAATTAGATTGAGACAGAATTTTTTTTAGGTTTGACCAGATATTTTGAGGTTGTCTTCTAAACAGAAAATCAAGTTAGTGTATTATTTAAGCCGAACTTGAAAGTCATAATAGTATTTTTCACATAGTAGATTCCTATTTTTTAAGCGTACAGTCTCTACTGAGGCCATGTTACACCAAAAGGCCACCTTTAAAACTATTCAATTTCAAGAAAAAAATTAGTGTTTTACTGTTTTTCAAAGGATGTGCCATTCCCTGTAAATTTCTAATGCTTATCTGAATCACAGAATCACAGAATCACAGAATGGACAGGATTGAAAAGGACCTCAAGGATCATGAATCTCCAACCCCACTGCCACATGCAGGGCCACCAACCTCCAATCATGGAGTTTAAGTGATACTGATTTTAGTTTTAGTCATAGGGAAGATATGACTTATTTTACTTTTTGCCTGAGGATGATAGTACTGGATTTATCTATCAGATGTTGACTTTTTACTGAATCCAGTTCTGAAAATACTACATATGATTTCTAAGAAATACATGCCTTCTTAGAATTCTTTAATTCCTTGTTTGGTGCCCATTTAGGTACATCTGTTATTCAAGTGACAGCCACAGATGCTGATGATGCCAACTACGGAAATAGTGCCAAAGTGGTGTACAGTATTCTTCAGGGACAGCCATATTTCTCAGTGGATCCAGAAACAGGTTAGCAACTCACAAGGTTCTGGTTTTTGAAATGACAGAGAGTAGATACAGGGATGAAGATATTTTTCACTTTTATTTGAATATTGTGTGATATAACTTGACATAAAGCAGATAATCTTTTTACAAACGGAAGTTGTAATCCACAAAAGTATAACTTTTCTTAAAATAAAATTGGTTTGGAAGAATAATTTCATTGTTTGATATCAATACGATTTATGGAAGACAATTGTTAACTCTAAGGTCAATCGTTTAGAGTGTAGATTATTGGAAGGGGCTCAAAGATTCATGTTTTAAAAGTTTGTTTTACACCAGTTTCTGGGATTTTATCTGGTTCATCTCTAAATGTATGCATATATATAAATATGTGTATATGTAGATATACATATGCATATGCACACATGGAAAATTTCAGACCATGAGATAAAAAAGTATCTCCAGAGGTAAATAAACTATCCTTAAAAGTTTGTGACAGATTCTTGTTAAATTACAATTTTTATGTCAAAAAGTTTTTTGAAGCTATACTCTGACTCCAGCAGAATTGAAATAAGAACCGTTAGTACATTACTTAGGGCCTTAAAGCATAAGGAGAAATCCTTTTCACTGTTATATAAGAAAAGGTCAAGCAAAGGAAGAAAGACTCATATGAACTTTGGTTAATAACTTTGGTTAATAACTTTGGTTCTTTGGTTATCAACAAAGAACAGACTTTAATTTTTTAAATTTTTTATTTTTATTTTTATTTTCTTTAATTTCAAGAAGAATACTAATACAGCACTGGGTTTCAAAGGCATACATTTTTCCTGTACTTTTACCATGGGCCACAAAATTGTGGCCCCATAAAACATCAAATCAACAAAAAAAAGCTACTGAAATCAAAAAGAAACAGTTCATATCAACACATATAAAACTTTTCATGCATTGCACTACCATGTTTCTGCGTATCATCAAATTCATTCTGGTATAAGTATCCAAAATTTAAGTGAAATTTTTTCCAGAGTCCATGAAGTTCCTAGTCTAATGGGCATGCTCAGATTATGGCTAATTTACTTTTGAAACAATTACTTTTTTGCAATTCAGCAAGGCCATTATAGCCATTATATATAGGATAATAAGAGAGAATAATGTGGAATGAAGTTTGTTTCTTTTTCTCCACATGTTCTTAACTTTACCATACAGAAGCAAGGGAAAAGGACAATGATAGTTCATTAACCAAGGCTAGCAGGTGTTGAAGAAGGTGGACAGTTTGGGGAATATCTGAGAGCTCATCTTTGATTTTGTGATTACCTTTATTTTTATCCATTTTTCTTTTTAATATTACACTCATTAACATGCTGAGTTATGGTAGGTAGAACCCAGTAACTCTGAATCGGATATAAATGCCATAACTATACTAGAGAATTTTGGCTTTTGTTTTTTTTGTCTTGTTTCACTATCTTTTTGGGAGGGGGAACTCTATAGATTTAAGAAACAAACAAAAATACACGTAATGGTAATGAGTTCCTTCCTCTGAAAAAGAAAAGGAAGGCATTTGAATCCCCCAAGGGAAAAAAAGAAACTGTATTTAAATTCTTCCACTTCAACAGAGAAAGTAATCATCACTTCAGTCCTGCAGAACCACTATATTTTAAATAAAAACGAAACAAAACAAAAAAAAAAACAAAAAACAACAGCAACAACAAAAAACACCACCCAGCAACTCTGCTTCTATTCTAAAATATGCATAATGGAAAGACTGTTTGTGTTCTGGATCTCAAGATTTTTTTGATCTTTCTTCAGGGTAGGAGATTTTTATTTTTATTTTATCACCTGAGATTTTTGTGTGCTATGTAAAAATGTTTTCCAACATTAGCTTTATAGTCTTTTCCAATTCTTCATTAGCTATAGTCCTGGTTGACTACCATTGCCCTCACTGGTCTTTAAAATCTATGGATCTATTAAAGTTTGAAATAATGAAACCAGGACATGACAGAGTTCATCATTAGGCCATAATATCAAGCCCTCTACAGGGATGCAAATTTCGTATTGCATTAAAATAATAGCTGTGGATGGCAGCTGAAAAAAAGTTTATTAGTTCAACAAACATAATTTTGCCACTGAAAGAAATACTAATTTAGAATATTAGAAACAATGAATATTTCTTTTATTTCTATATATTTGAAAAATCGGAGGTTAAAGTGTGCCTTCTACTCTGTGCCTCTTTTTTTCTCTTTTCTCTAAGGCATAATCAAAACTGCTCTACCGGACATGAGCAGAGAAAACAGGGAAGAGTATCAAGTGGTCATCCAGGCCAAAGACATGGGAGGACAGATGGGAGGACTATCAGGGACCACCACGGTTAACATCACACTGATTGATGTCAATGACAATCCACCTCGATTTCCTCAGAGTATGGAACACTAAGAGTTCTGTTGTTTCCAATGAATTTCTCTAAATCTGTTGCTTCACTGTCACCTTCTGCGATCTTTTTTTCTCTCCCCTTTTATTATTTATTTATTTATTGTTTTACTATAAATACCAGCCCACTGCTGTGTCTGGATTTTTCTTTTATTTTTTATTTTTTTTATTTTTTTTTTTTGTTGCAGTGACATAAAGGCAAAGTGAATCTTCTTTTTTTAAATGTCAAAATATTTTCTGCAACTATAAGCTTACTTCCCTTCTTACTCTGCTCATAGGAATGTTAACTGTAACAGCAGACTTGGGTAACTGTAGGGTTTTCAGAACCTTTACTGAAATTTAATAACAAAATCTAGGATTGTGTTTATATGCCCCTAATGTTTAGCCAAGTAGTTCACCAAATTTTCTTATATACCACCTTGCACAGGCAGAGTTGATCAGGAGATATGCTTTGCTGGAAGTCTAAGTATTTGCTTCAGGTACTTGTAATCTGTACTTAATTCCTGATGAAGTCTGCTTTGTATAATCTAGTCTGTATCTGATGCACAGCTGAGGTTTTCAAAAATGTCTGTTTAATAAATGTGACAAAATTTATAAAATTAAATTAAAAATTAAAATTAAAACAATAGAAAAATGCACAATATAGTAAGCTTCATGAAATACTACAGATCCTTTCATCCTAGGCTACTTGTTTGAATCCAGTTCCTTGTTGTTAAAATCATTGTCTACTAACTGCTTGACAGGCTACAGATATAATAAATTTACAGTCTCGGTTCAGTGTCTGCTGGAAGAATGTCCATGTTGTAAAATTTGAATTGCTTGTTAGCACTGATAAGAGACCTGACCGTCTCTCTTTACAAATTCACCAAAGAATGAACAAACAAGGCTGAACTCTCTCCCACACTTAAAGAAACTTGAAAAGTACTTCAGCGCCATGGCGATAAGTACACTCAAAGCAGTATAAGCACGTCAGCCTAGAACAGATTCTTTAAAATGTTAGAAAACTCAGTGTGGGAGAGAGGATTTTTGAAACTTGCTTTCATTCTTCCTACTTGGTTGTGTTCTAAAAAGAGAGGGGAGAGAAAGTACAGTGGGTCTTATAAAGAAAGATAATTTGAATCATAATCAGTACAGTTTTCAACCAATTTTTCTGCTTGATTTTAGGAGAGGATACTCTTTTATAGCATGATACAGCCTACAGTACTTTGGCAAACAGGAATTCCCGAACCTAAATTAGAGTGTGGTGTAGCCCATTCCAAGCTTTGTTGCTGAATAAAATTAAATAAAATTAAACAAAACAAAATTATATAAAACAATAAAATGAAGGATACACAGAACTACAAAATTATGTTAGTTTCTCACTCAGTCTCCTTAGCCTTCATTCCTTAATGATGATCTTGAAAGATTAGCTGAAGCCTGAAGTCTATAGAAGTTCTGATAATTATGATTAGTTTTGGTTCTGGTACATAACTGTAAAGAAATTCACACAATTTGATGCTTCATAAAATATGCCATGTAGCTTTCTACATAGAATATCACTAAAGAACATAGATTGGCCATACATTAATTGCTATGGGATGTCTTCAGGGGAGTAACTTTCATTTTCTTGATGACCCTCCCTTTCTATTTTCTTTCTCCTTAACAGGGTGATTTTCAAAATTTCTAGGGAAACCAGGTATATAGACACATCCGAAAATTTTAATTTATTCTAAGATAAATAAGAACATCCCTTCAAATTAATACATGATTTTGGAGGTTTTCTCCTTCCAAAGGCAATTATTTTCCATTTTCTTTTATGCGAGGCAAGAATAAGTACAAATGTGACCCAATGCAGAGGGTCAATAGCAAGTAGACACAACAGGAGTTAACATGATGTTGCTGAAGAACTGAAGACTGATTTATTAAAGTAGATAAAAGAATGAAATTGGTGGAGAGCACTGTGAAGTACTGGATGTTTGGATTGCAATAAGAAGAAACATTTTATGTTTTGTTCTATTTCCTGAAATGTTCAATGTCCTTCACACTTGAAAAACATAGGCAAATTTAAATGCTGAACTTATATGGCACACTAACGAAAATTCAAAACTGAAATTCAATTGTACTCTAAATCAAACTAGCCATCTCACATCCCAAAATTACGTAGCTCTCAGGCAGAACAACAAAAATAAGGAGTGTTTTCAGATGCAAAAACAATTAAGGGAGTTGTTTATTTATATTACTTATATATATATGGAAGAAGCCATAAGTGGAATTATTAAATCTATTCTTACAGTATTCTCAGCACTTCTGACAATCCTTTGAATTTGAGTAAGCCTTCAAACTTATATTTAGCTGCCAAGAGTCCTAACTTTCTTCAAATTTTCAGCTTTAAGGGAATAACGCTTATTCTAGTCTGTGTGGATTGCAGTCAAAGAGTCTATTGCTGAGCAATTTTGTAACAATAAACAAAATTTAGCATCAAGCATTAGCTTCCATTTTGTTACACATCTATATAATTACAGGGTATTTCCAGAGACAATGTTTTGTACTCCGTACATTTTGAGGTACAGACTCTCTCAGCACTCAGATGTCTACTACAGCCCTTTTTGCATAAAATAAACCTTTAGGACTCTGCAAGGGTCTTAAATGAAAGCAGAGTATGTGTAAATACAGGAAACAGCCAATAGGCTACTTAAAAGAAATATACTTGTTAGTACTGTACTTCAGGTCAATACAATTTTTAGATCCTTCAAAAAATATTTTTGCATTTTGCCCAGTGTTAATTAGTCAGATCAAGAATTTTAAGCTATTTTTTCCAGTGTTATTATTTTGCATAGTGATTTCATGTTTATTTACATCAGAAAATAGCTCAAAAAACCTCAAATTCTGGAAATTTGCATGGAATATGCTCTGTATACATATATATGTATATATGTCAGATATTCTCTAGCAAATGACAGAAAATATTGATTTAGAAATGTCTTGCTAATGATGAAGAATCTTCATTGTTTAGTTCTTTCTGGTCAAGAAAACCACCTGATTAATACTTTTTATGCTATAGCATGTCTTAAGATTTTTATGGTGAATGTTGTCAGTAAATACGTATAGATTCACATTTCATCTGTGTATTAGATGAAATATTTCTGTCTGTGTAATCAGAATTTTTTCTAGCAAAACCTGATTATAAAAACATTAAATAACACCAATCACTGAAGGAGCACAATATGTATGTGCTGAGTAAATTAAAGAAAATCTAAAAGTATGTGCATTTTAATTAACTATAGCAATTAACATGAACATGCACCCAAATTCTCTTTACTGTGACTCTTTATTATGTATTACCAAAAATGGATAAAGGAATTGTTTTAGATAGAACATCTGAAATGGATATAAATTTCCAAATATCAAAAGAGGAAAAGCATAGCCTATTCTATCTTAGTCTCCTGCTTTGCTATTGCTCTTCTGTCTTGAGGAAGCAAAACAAAATCTGCTACTTACAAATATATCTGGCAACACGTCTGGAGAACTGAGGAAGAAGAATAGTTAATGAATCAGTATTAGAATCACTGCCATATTATTGAGCTTCTCTGTTCCAGTATTAAAAACATTAAAAACACTGTACCAAATGGCTTTGAAGAATCATTTGAAATTTTTGTGACAGTTTGTCAATCAACTCCAAGCCCTGTTTTGTATAAGTAAAAGTTTAGTGTAATGACTAATGGCATTTTTCTTTGTGTAATTTTAAAAAATCGAGGTGAAATTGAAGGTGTTTATTATTCAGAAGAACAAAGTTTCTTAAAATAAAAAGCTTGATTTTGCTCTTCCAGGCACCTACCAGTTCAGCTCTCCTGAATCTGCACCACCTGGGACTCCTCTTGGCAGGATTAAAGCCAATGACCCTGATCTGGGTGAAAATGCAGAGATTGAGTATAGTATCTCCAATGGGGATGGATCAGATGTGTTTGATATCATCACTGACAAGGATACACAGGAAGGGATTATAACTGTCAAAAAGGTTTATTTTTTCTCCTTCTCTTTTATATGTACTTAGCTCTCCAGGTGTTATGGTTATTTTTCCAGGGCAAGGGAGGGTAGATCTCACAAGGGGTCAAAGCTGTCAAGAAGTTCTTCTATTAGTTTTCTTCTTCTCTTTCTTCAGCAGATATCTGTTATTTTCAAGTCTCGAGGGAAATTTACTGGCATGTCACTTCACATAAAGCAATATTTCAGTGGCAGCTGTCTGCTCAATATATGTAATCTCACACAGTACTTTCAAATTAGGGCTCTGTGAACCTGGAGGGGTTCAGTTTGCAGTGGAGTTTGTCAGCTGAATGGTGCAGTAGTACTCACAAAGGTTGGAGGCTCACCTCCTGTTTGATGATCTTACATTTACAGCCTGTTACTCTGTAATCTCTTTAAAAATCCAGTACACTCAGAACCTTAAATCTGTTTCGGTTTAAGTTCAGCCTCGGTGAAACTTAAGTTCTTCGATATTATGTCAATTGAGGTCTTAAGAGCAAAGGGATTGATAGGAATTTATCTCAAAATGCCATCTCTGACAGATTGGTTTGGTGCTTTTTATGGTTCAGACTGTTGAAGTATGAACACTCTTTTTAGTTCTGTTCTTAAATGATCAGTAACAGTAAATTGTTGTATATATACGTAATACAAATATATGGAAACTGTATATATGTGTTCATTTCTGTGTGCACATGCATGCAAATATCTATGTATATATATGTATACACATAGGCAGGAAATCAGATCTTGCATTTTTTCTTTTCACTGTGGAATATGGAGTGTAGGAATAAGTTGTATCACGGTTGCTACTGATGCAGAATAAACAAGACTAGGTGATAATATGGGAGCAGACAGGAGAGTGGAAATAGGGCAGAGTGACTTAAAGAGCTGGCATAAGTGTTTTTGCTCCATAAGGAAAATAAGGACATTTGCACTTCCTACTTGTGGAGGGAGTACATCTTGCCTGTTTCTTTCTATTTTTATATAGATAAATCATCCAGGGCTTCTATGAATCTGAACAAGTAGTAGGCAAAGAGATCATAGTTGTCTTGCTTCCCTATATAATTCTCATTTTTTCTTATACTTAGAAAATGCCATCTTCCCCAAGATCATTACAAATTTGAGACTTTTTTCTCTGAAAAATGCTTAAATATTTAATTCATCATTGTAAAGCTGACTCACATTTCTTATAAAATGATGCAATTTTCTTAATATTATTTGCTCCCTAGCAGCTGGATTTTGAAAAGAAGATATTATACACCTTAAGAGTGGAAGCCACGAACACTCATCTGGATCCTCGTTTTCTTCAGCTGGGGCCATTTAAAGACACAGCTCTGGTCAAAATTTCTGTAGAAGACATAGATGAACCTCCAGTGTTCAGCAGATCCTCATATTTAATAGAAGTAGATGAAGATGCCAAGGAAGGAAGCATTATTGGGCAGGTTGTAGCCCGAGATCCAGATATAACAAAAAATACAATAAAGTAAGTCATTACACGTTGTTAAATGCTTTAAATATTGGTTACATCTCACGCAAAGCACGATGAGGATGGAGTAGTACAGTGGCGCACTTATGTAATTAAGCTCATAGGAGCCACTGAAAAACATTCAACAGATAAACATCTATGGGAACTTGTGATTGCAAGCAGTTATAAAGTGACAACTACACCTGAAATGTATGTCCTTTGATGGCTGAATTCTCCAAGAATTACACTGCCAAAATATTATCTAAGAACATTCAGTTTTACTTCATCATTCACTTTGCAAATCCAAACATAATTTTGAATAACAATCTAATAAACAGTACACATAATTAATTTGCCCATCATTCCACTCAGTCTTAAAAAAGACTTTTCTCTGTATTTGTAACACACTGCATTCCTGTGGCAGTTACAGAAAAGCTTAGGACTACCTGTTTAGAAAACATTCTCAATTAACTACAGTGAAACTCACAAAATGTTTATAGGTGGCTGTAAACTAATCTGAAGACTGTGTCAAGAAACAATGAAGCTCAGTTGTAATATATCTTAACAGATATACTGTGGATCGACACACTGACCTGGATAGAATTTTCAACATCTATTCAGGAAATGGATCCTTATTCATCTCAAAGCCACTTGACCGGGAAGAAACTCCCTGGCACAACATCACTGTCATAGCAACTGAAATCAGTAAGTTGGAGTGATTTGCCTAAGAAGCACATTGGATCTGAGAAAGACTGAAATACTACAGTATTTATGATGTAGGCCTGCCCTTCCTCAAATATTGTCAATACACAGAGTATCTTTATACGTGCTTATATATCTACTTAAGGATTATCTTTGCCCATTTGTGGAAAGATAATTTGGAATTCTGAACAAAACTGGTTTCCTGAGAATTCCCTGCAAATCATTTACTGTAGAAGAAATGTATCTCAGCCAACCAATAACAGGCATCAGAAGGAAATTTTCTAATTTTTAGAAAGACTGTTACCTTTTTCTCACACAACACTCCTTCACTGTAAGGTCAAATATTGCCTCCATTTTCAGTAAATGTAGTGTATGAGTCATCTCCGACTATAGCCTGATGCCAGATGTCAAGCTTGCCAATGCTAACTGCTTTTAATATCTGCACAGATACACTTTGTGGTTTTACTGTTTTAGAAGGGACAACACTTTTTTTCTCTTTCTTTAGTTGACTCTAAATTATTCTTGACAGCTCTGCATCAGGAAACAGCCCTCAAAATGAATCATTTACTTCACCAATATATGGAATACAAGTCAAACGTCAGTAACAACTCAGTGGCCAATTATGCAAATCTTTTAAGCAGACTTCATTTGTATAATTTCAAAATTCAAGTAGCACAATAGAAGAAAAAGATTTCAAATATTGCTAGGGCTTTTAATCCTATGCAAAATACAAGAGTAGAAAGTTGAGGATAATTGTTTTCATGTTATGAAGATTAATATTTCCAGTGTCTATTGGAGGAAAAAAAAACCAAAAGAGGTCTTTTCACAAATTGTGTGCTGTGCAAAACTTCGCATTGTACATAGTACATTGTAATCATGCTCTTGTTTCAGATAATCCTAAACAAAGTAGCCAGATACCTGTCTTCATCCGGATTTTAGACATAAACGATCACGCACCAGAATTTGCCAAATACTATGAAACATTTGTCTGCGAAAACGCAAAAGCAGGACAGGTAAGTGAATATTTACGTTTTTGAGAATTTTAGTGAAACTGTTAAGGAATATCATTATAGAGACTTCATAGTGTCTACATTTCAACAACTGCAAATCAAACCAACAACCTCTTTATTCCCTGTCTACTACAGTAGCTACCTGTTGTTTACCAGAAGATTTTAAAAGATAAAGATGGAAGATTTTATGTTAATATAATATCACATAGTACAAGGAAATGTTTATTTAGGGTGTGTTTTCATCCTTAACATCAGAAAATATTTTTCGGATCTACTTATGCATAATGCTACAAAAAATCTTTGTACTCTCTCATAACTCCACTTCCTTTGGGAAGTTTTTCAAAGCCTTAGTTGACATAGCCACACCTTCAAGCACATAAACACAGGAAAATGTTTTACTATGCTCCAGTAAAGGAGATGTAGAATAAGAAAAATCTTTTAAATAAAAAATGCATAAGTACATGAATAAATAAAGCTAATGTAACTGTTTTCTTTGCAAGTTTTATAAAATTCTGAATTGAGCTGAATGTGAGCAAAACTCATGTACATCCCTTTATTTTATATAGTTTATTTTATAAACTCTGTAATTATCTAAAAAGATGATAAGGTTTATGAAAGAAAATTAGAAACAATGTGTATTTATGATTACATCTGTCAGCTTTTCTGTCTTAAGTTTTGTGAAGGAAGAGAATGTTTTGCTAATTTTTAATTCCGAAAGTACTTACTGAGTTGATACCAAATAACTGGATACAGCATCAGATTATATACCCTGAAATTGTCACTCTAGCACGTGCTTAAGTCCACGTTTGAATCCTGTCTTATTTCCTCTCTCATCTTTGAGAGGATGAAAAGACTTGAGATCATTATTTTCCCTAAAGGAAATTTGAGTTTGTTTCTGCTGAGGTAGAGAGGCCAGGACAGAATTCTAGATCTTTATTTCTGTCTTTTGAGCATACTAACTACACAAAACTCAAAGACTATATAGGACTGAGCAACATAGATATGCATCAGAAAATATATTATTTTAACTTTGTTCTCTGTCGAGAGTTATTTGTATTTACCAAGGCCATGATGACTGCACTGAAAATAGCATAAATGATACTTGGGATTGATCTAGAATGTCAGAGCTTGCAGAACTCTAGAAAGGGCAAGAATATGCAGTTTACCAGATGCAAAGCAATGGTGTTTTAAAGCAGGTTTAAGAGATTAAAACAAATATATATATATATATATATATATATAAAATGGAAAAAGACAAATATAGAAAAGAGAGAGAAAAAGGTGTGTAAACTGAAAGGTGTGTAAATTGCATTCAGTCTACTAATGTGTTTTTACAAATTTGTAATTTTTTACAAAATTGCCCCTACTACTGGAACTTAGTTAAATGAATTATTAAATACAGAGGATAGTCCGAGTGAAATCGATTGGCTTCAAAGAGGTACTTGATCATATTTTAATTCTTGTTCAAGAAAGTTCGTTGTATTTGCCCCCTCCCTGGAAGCATTCAAGGCCAGATTGGATGGGGCTTTGAGCAACCTGCTCTACTGAGAGGTGTCCCTGCCTATAATAGAGAGGTTGGAAATAAATAGATGATCTTAAAAGTCTGTTTCAACCCAAACCATTCTATGATTCTATGATTTTGTTCTTGATATGAATGATGTACATAGATAAATATTCATATCAAAGGCAGTGGTGAATTTAATTAAAACAGTGGAGGAAATTAAAATATCAGAAAAATGAACAAGATACATCTTTCAAAACAACTGAAAGATTCAAAGCAACTGAAGTTTATGATCAGAACATACTGTCAGAGCCGACAACATTAATTGTCATATAAGTGTATAGTTCAATACTTATAGAATGAGAAAAGCCTTTCTCTCAACTTCTGATTATTGAAACCTCATATTTTTTTATGATCTACAATCTCTTTTATTTATTTATTTTTTTCCTTCAGATTGAATACATTCAGATAATTCTAGTCACTGATTTGAATGGCTGGCACATGACCTAAATTCTGACTGTGCAACAAAATTTCTTTGTACAAGATGAAATTGAGACAAAGAAATCTTAAAATCTTAGTATAATGGCTGATAGCAAAGTAGGTCATATACTTTAATTGAATAACACAAAGAAATCTTTAGAGCTTAGTAGTACTATTTCAATGAAATTAATCATGTGGAATATTATCAGTTAGTTCAATCCAGTCAAAGCTCTTGTCAGTTTTCTTTTACCAAATAGTCTAGAATACTTGATGAATTACCCAATAACAAAGAAAACTGCGTTTACTTTTCCAGTGAAGTCAGTGCCTTTCTAAAAATAGCCATGAGAAAATGAGAAGGCCTGTGAATTACATGTTTTCTTGTTTAGATCTTCCATCCATCTACTGTATCAATTTAATTCCAGATATTATATTCCTTAATTGGAAAAATCTGCAGATACTAGAAAGAGAGTACGCATCAAATGTAGATGCAGAAGGATGGGAGAACTAGATCTTTCTTCTATTTTTTAACAGTTAGTTTCCTCATGCAGGCATCTGAATTTACACCTGGATATTTACCTGTATTTGAAACTGTTTCAGAAAACAAATAAACTTTAATACATGAGAATACTTTTAGTTTGGGACCTAAAAATAACAGTGAATATAGAGATGCAAACTGGAATGTTTGGGCTATAGATGCTAAATTCCAGATAGCTCATGTTTAGCAGCCCCAATAAGTATAATGAATATGCATTCAATTAGTACTACACTTTATTTTAAATATCACCTAAAAATGCTTTCTTATTAGAGTCATTATTGCCTCTTCATACATCACAGCAGTGCTTCGACATCTGGTGCCCATAACAGAAGAGACAGACTGAGAAGATAAATGCATTTGGTTAATTTCTAAAAGATTATTATTTTTTTTAATTGTGCCCAACTATTAATCACCATGCTCTCTAAATCCCAGTTGCATAGTGAAGCAGTCAGAATGATCAAATATTGTTCTCTACTGTCTAGTAACATTACTCATTCTCTACATCAGCTGATATTAGAGTCTCCATTTGTTGTGTTTTCAGAAAGAAAATCCTACAGAGTGTCTCCTCCTCCTCTGCCACTGTTTTGTCTCCAGATAACAGTGGTATGATTAGGGAGAAATATTGTCACTAGAGATGCATAAACAATAGCATTGATAAGGCTGGAATAGATCTGTCACCTTGCAAGTCCCACTGCCTAATGCACAAGCTATAGAGGAGTATGATGCAGCCTTCCCCTTGCAGAATTTAAAAACTCCTAATCCTCTGATGGTGTGCTGGAGCCCCAGGGACTGCTGTAGGGAAGGCTCTGGTACAAGTTCTCTCATGCCCTTGTCACAGGAATTAATTGTGTCTTTGTAGCTGGATTAGAGGATGAATCCTCTCCATGGAAACTAGGAAGATTTACTTGAAAAGAAGGTTGAATAAACTGAGCAAGTTAGTGACAACAATTCAGTTAATTTCAACATCTACTGATATTATTTAAGAAAACTACCTGAATTGCTTTTTAGCATTGATGCTATATTCTTTCCTGCCATTTAGGGGCTCTCAAGCATCAGAACAGGGAAAGAATTTGTTTTCTCTCTTGGAAAGCTGGCAGATTTTTCGTTTCATTACTCTCCATACACTGCTTCCTTTATAAGATGAAGAAGACAGATAACGCATTTTTAATGTGGTTGTTGCTAATTATCAGTCACAACTAACTGTATGCTGTCCCTCTCTTCTCCAAGTAGAAACCTATTGATTTCATGAGAGGCACAAATTCCCTATTTGTCTCACTTTTAAAATAAGAATAGTAGTTTAATTAAAATCTTTCCAACTTCTATAAAGAATTCAGCCCTGCATTAAAACTGTCAGCATATGGTTGGCCCAGAGCCAAAGAGTAAAAATTGTTTTGCTTTAGCAAACATGAAACTTCATTAAATTGTGGGTATTTTAGAACATTTCTGAAGACATAATGTGCCAGGATCAGAAGTCTATTCAATCTTACCCACATGTGTCACTGTAGTGATGCACATGCTGGAGCACTACCTGAACACATGAGATTGCACAAGCATTACGTTGACAAGTTAGGCATCCACTTAGGATTTCACTGATTTTGAAATAATTCTTTTGGGGGTATTTGATAATTCCTTTGGGGGTATATCTTTCCATTACTCATACTTCAGGTGGGCAGTGATGAAATTGTTCAGAGAAGCCTACGAAATATGAAAAGAGATTTCAGGGGTTTAGGGCATTTAGTTCAAGGTACAGGAGCACAAGTGATCTTTTGTTTTGGGTAGTGAAGGACATGGGGCAGGCTTGGAAAGCACAAGCAATGAATAATTGGCTCAGAAGCTGGTGTCGAGGCAGAAACTTTGGGTTCTTTGATCATGGGGCAGTTTACTCAGCCCCTGGCTTGTTGTCAGTGCATGGAACCCACCTATCTCAAAGGGGGAAACGAATCCTAGCACAGGAGATAGCAGGGCTGATTGAAAGAACTTTAAACTAGCTATGATGGGGAAAGGGATGAAACGGGGCTTACCAGAGATGAGGCTAGGGGAAAAACGCTTGAGCTGGGAGTGAGACCAATGACTCAGCTGAAGTGCATCTACACTAATGCACACAGCATAGGCAACAAGGAGAATGAGCTGGAAGTGATTTTGCAACAGGCTAGCTATGACATAGTTGCTATTACTGAAACATGATGGGACCACTCCCATGACTGGAATGCTGTGATGGATGGCTACAAGCTCTTCAGAAGGGATAGACGAGGAAGGGTGGTGGTGTGGTTTATACTGAAAAGTGTTTTAATGTTGAAGAGCTTGGGACTGGGAATGACAAAATTGAATGTCTATGGATAAGGATCAGATGGAAGGCCTAAAGGTATGATATCTTGGTGGGTGACTGCCTAATCAGGATGTAGAGAAAGATGTAGCAGTTCATGAGCAGCTTGTGGAAGTTGCACAATCGCCAGCACTTGTTCTCGAGGGAGACTTCAACTTCCCTGA